AAAAAAAAAAAAAAAAAAGGAAAAAAGGAGGAAAAAAAAAGAACGGGAAAAAGATCACAAGTCGCGCGCTTCGAGGCTTTAGCTGGGGGGAGAAGCCAAGCCTTGCAGGGGACGGAAGAGGATCAATTTGATTCCGCAGACGAACGAGAGCCTTCGGGCGGATGAGATCCGTAAAGGTCTTTTTTTTTTTTTTTTTTTTTTCTCTCCCAAAGCAAGGGGCCCTGAGGGCTTCATTATAAAAGTGAAGATGAGGCCGGCCGGGAATCCCTCAAACAAGACAACCCGGAAGCATAGTTTGAAATATAAGCGCACCCAAGGGTGCAAGATCTCACTGAGATAACGCAGGTGTTGGGATTATGATCTACGGACAGAAATGGCAAAAAAAAAACAGACCGCTGCCCTGATGTTCCCCAACCCTGAAAACACACAAAGAAAACGCCACCAGGGCCTAAAAAAAAGCCTTAACAAACCAAAAGCCTTCATCAACTAAAATTGCCACCAAGGCCTGCAAAACCCAACCACCAAGAAAAAATTGCCTCCACACAAACGAGTCATTTGGTTCTTCTATCCTTCTCAAACGTACCAAAAAAAAGCGCCCCTTACGATCCTACACTACACGCAACAACTTAGTGTTTGTTTTTTTTTTTTTTTTTTTTTTTTTTTAAGCACATCTACCATGCTTATTGTGCGAACACTAATAGCTTGTTTATTTGAATACCATAGGGTGGCCCAAATAAGACATAAGCTCTGGACTAGGCACTCCCCCCCCGTCCTAACCCACAGCCTGTCTACTTCGACAAAAGCAACCATCTTACTTAGTAGACGGTTGCCTCTTAGTCATTGAGTGAAGATAGGGAGACTTTACGTTCACCCATAAGAGCCTGAGTAAATCAATTCAATATGTGTAAATAGTGGATATAGATTAAAGGTAAATTGTCTGCCTTTAACAAAGGGTTTTTTATTTTGTATTAAAAAATAAAATAAAAAATTGTCTGCCTTCCAAGCAGGGGCTATGGGTTCGATTCCCCGTTCCGAGTGCTCAGGTTGGGTCCCCCAGTACCCATCTGTTCTCATGTATAATGAAGAGTAGACGCTCCTTTCTGTTCCATTCTCCCTGACGGCTGCGACCAAGCCTGCAACCGAGTCCCCAGTTTGAGAGGGTTGCCTCCTTAACATGATAGGAGCCAATCATCGAAAATCACTTTTCTACCTTCGACAGGGTGTCTCGAATAAGACACAAGCTCTGGACTAGGCGCTCCCTCCCGGAGCTAACCCACTGCCTGTCTACTGGGACAAAAGCAACCGAGTGCTCAGGTTGGGTCCCCCAGTAGCCATTTGTTCTCATGTATAATGAAGAGTAGACGCTCCTTTCTGTTCCATTCTGCCTGACCGCTGCGACCAAGCCTGCAACGGAGTCCCCAATTTGAGAGGGTTGCCTCCTTAAGATGATAGGAGCCAATCATCGAAAATCACTTTGTTGCTTTCTACCTTTGCCAACGGATCCTTGCAGGCACCACGTGTCCTCAAACCACCGCAAGGAGCTTGACAGGAAGCTTGTGTTCAGCACTTTTTTTTTTTTTTTTTTTTTTTTTTAGAATTGCCTGTCTCAAGCCATGTATGATCGGAGTACGAATCTGCGTATTTGTCCATTCTTTCTCTTCAAAGATCCTATCATTCCTTCCTTGCCGGATCACTGAAATTAGCACTGCTCTGGCGACTTGAGCAACCAAAAAAATAAAAAAATAAAAAAAAAAAAAAATCATTTTTTGGTCTTTTACAAACGGGCCAGTGGCCAAGTTATATAATCAAAATAATTCCCCGTTGAGGATCCGGAGAGGTCTTTTTTTCGTCGTTGAGAGAACGTGAAGTGTTGGTTGGGCAGATACAGGGCGTCCTTCCAGTAGACGACATTCTATAAGCATCTGGACGCTTTCTAGACCAGGTACGTTCAAAATGTTGGATTCTTCCAAATGCACCTGGTCTAGAAAGTGTCCAAATATAGTGGAGCGAGGGCCATACTGATCTAATATTCCTGTGGCCATTTAACTTCGACGTTTTTCAAATGCACCTGGTTTAGAACTCGTCCAAATCCACGTAAGAGTCTTGTGTAGTGGAGCGAGGCCAATTATCAGCCTTTTTTCAATCTCCATCATCTTCCTCAAAACTACCGTCTTCCTTCGAACATATCATTCCCCTGATAATGAATGTACACAAGCTATATTTCCGGTCAGGTGCAGCCAAAATGAGGGTGCGTTGTCTTCGGGGGAAGAGGGTAACGTAGAGTGAACTCTGTTCCACACAACAGACGACGCTCAAAATATTGCACCATGGATCGAGTCCCTCGACGTCCCGCCCGTGTTCGCTTCAAAGGACGCGCTCGGCGGCCAAGGATAGAGTATGATGCTCGCGTCGCAATCGCATCGCAATTAATACAATCATGCATAAACTTTATGGAGTCGAGAAACTCAATATGCTGGATCTTGCCGGGAACTCAGACCAGATTCTCACTGCCTGCCTTCCTTTGATTCAGAAAGCTTTGCGGCTTTGCGGCTTTGCGGAGCGGTGAGGCAACGAGCTGTGTGTGTGTACGCTATAAGCCATCAGCCACGTGGAGCAGGCCGTCCACAGTGCTCGTCGTCTTCTGGGGCTGCTCAGGAGTCTGCAGCTTGATAGTCTTCTCTGTCTGTGTGTGTTTGTGTGTGTGTGTGTG